CGAGCCCGTTACACGTCCCCGCTCCTCCCAGCCCCGACGGGGGCGGGACTCACCGCGTCACCGGGGCGGCTGGGCTCCCATTGGCCGGTAGAGGGGGCGGGGCTCGAGCGGGTCAGAGACGGGCGGGCGTAGGAGAGGGGGGGAGAGACCAACCTGGGAGGGGGGAGGGGGCGAGACCAACTATCTACGCGGGGGGGGTGGGGGGCAGCAGGGGTGCTGTACCTTCACAGCTGGCGGGGCGGATATGTGTGTGGATTTTTTACCCTCTGCTCAGGCCCATAGCTCTAGCTTGCCCCTTTCCCTCTCCTCCCCCATCACCCGCCCTCCGGGGAAGCTGCCAAACATGGGGGAAACTGAGGCACACAGTGGCCTGGCAAAAATGCTGCAGCAAATCCCTACTTTGTTGGAGCAAAGCGCGTCGGCCAGATCCACAGGCTGGGGGCTCCTCCCCAGAGACTGGCACCGTTGAGAAAGATCAGGGGGGCTGTGGGGGTTCAGTGGCTGCACACAACGCTCCCGAGGTGATGCTGAGGCGCTCCTGGGGTGCACAAACCGGGGAGGCATGAGTGGGAGCACAGAGGTTTTTTCCCCTCTGGATCTGGCCCCAGGGTAACTGGGCTGGCAAACCGGGCCCAGACCTGGTGCCCCCAATTGCCGATGAATGAGGGAGGGGGTCAGAGGTTTGAGGATTGGCCTGCTAAACCTAGGGTTGTGAGTTCAATCCTTGAGGGGCCCATTTAGGGATTTGGGGCAAAAATCTGTCTGGGGATTGGTCCTGCTTTGAGCAGGGGGTTGATTGATCTAGGTGATCTCCTGAGGTCCCTTCAGGTTGTGGAATCTCCATCTCTGGAGATATTTAAGAGTAGGTTAGATAAATGTCTATCAGGGATGGTCTAGACAGTATTTGGTCCTGCCATGCAGGCAGGGGACTGGACTCGATGACCTCTCGAGGTCCCTTCCAGTCCTTGAATCCATGAATCTATAAACCCTGATATTCTCTGATTCTATGAGAGAAGAAACCATGGGGAATGATTTCAGGGTTGGAAACCCCGCCTTAGGGTGAGAGACGCCAGCAGCTCCGCCTATTGAGCCGAACAAAGGGAAAGTTACGGGGGGACCTGATCCCTGTCTGGGAACACCTATGTGGGGGACAAATATTTAATACCGGGCTCTTCGATCCAGCAGGGGCACCTGTAACACTCACCGACCGCTGGGATTTGAAGCTAGATGAATCCAGATGGGAAATAAGATTTTTAGCAGTGTGGGAGTAATTCCCCCTGGGGATAATTTCCCAGGGGCATCAGGGGATTCTCCATCACTGGTGGGTTTAAAATCCCCTCGGGGTGTTGCTCAAAGAGATCTGCTGGATGGACGATTTGGGGGGCCGTTCCCAGGCCAGGGGGTCTGACTAGAAGATGGTCCCGTCTGGCCGTGGTAGCCAGGTATCTCTCTCCTGGCCTCACGGCCCCAGCTGCCTCCAAACTGGCAACTTGATCTCACCCCATGGCTGCTGTGGACAGGAGCTACATTCCCCCTCCCCCCCAGCCCCTCATCCTGATTCCCATCACGCAGGCCCCCAGTATCCCCCAGCATGAGGCCATGAAGGGTGGAAATGAGAGGCCAGGCCAGCCCTGGGCCAGGGAGATGGAGGAACAACAGGAAACAGCTGCGAAGCAGTTGGGCCCCAGCCCCATAAATGGGGCGGGTGGGAGAGTCATGAGGCAGCAGGACATTACGCCAGCTGACCGCGGATAGAGACGCTTCCTCCTCCACTCAGTGCTAATAACCCCAGTGTCCCGGTGGGGCACTGTGCTGCGGGGAGCAGGATGGGGGCTCAGTAGGGGGCACTGTGCTGCAGGGAGCCGGTTGGGGACTCAGCAGGGTGCCCCATGCTGCAGGGAGTTTCACATATTCTTCACTTCCGGTACTTAATTACCGTGCAGATGTTCCCCAGCTGCCCAGCTCCAGAGGTGGCTGCATCTCAGCCATCCTCATGCGGCATTATGTGTGGCTGTTCACTCACTACCCCACCCAGAGCTGGCTGCACCTCAGTGCTGGGCGAGCCATCCCCATGTGGTTGTTTCCCAGTTGTCCCGCCCCAGAGCTGGCTGCATTTCCCTCCCGTCTGTCTGGGCTAGGGAAAGATCAGGGTCTGTTCTGATCTGGGCTATGTCTCCACATCCTGTCCCTGAACTATCCCGTCCCAATTGAGGCCGTGTGTCTGAGTGGTCTGCAGGGCTTGTGGCTCTGTCCCGTCCCCCGGTGGGTGAGACCCTGCCCTGCAGCTTGCCAGCTCCGATCTGCATGGCCCCTGCTCCTACCCACCGCAGAGACGGCTCTGGCATCCAGAGGGCGCAGAAAATGCTATCCCTCCCCCATCCCGCCTCCCACACACAGCTCTGTCCCACATGTGCTTCTTATAAACAGTTGGCGAGAGACCCACCCCGCATCTCCCAGCCAGGCCTGCTTCTTCCAGAGCTTGAATGTGGCCAGACGCCACTTAATTTAGGGTTGGTTTGTGCACATAGGGGCAGCTCAGTCGGGGGGCTCTGCCCGGTGTGTGTGTGTGTATGAGGGGGAGGGTCAGGACCAGCTCGATGTCCCAGCATGGCCTTAGGGGGCGCTGTGCTGCAGGGAGCAGGGCAGGGCACTCTCCCCTGGCAGTCAGGGCTGGTCCTGATGCCCCAGCCCGGCACTACGGGGCAATGTTGTGAATGGAACAATAGGAATTGCACTGTGTTGAAATGCAGCTAACTCTGGGGAGGGGCAGCTGTTTGACAGCTGCATAGCAACACTGCACTGACCCCCGCTGAGCCCCCCGCCTGCTCCCTGTAGCACAGCGCCCTCTGCTGAGCCACACATCCCGCCCTGCTCCCTGTAGCACAGCACCCTCTGCTGAGCCCCCGCTGCTCCCTGCAGCCCAGCACCCCCTGCTGAGCCCCCCGCCCCATTCCCTGCAGCACAGCGCCCCCTGCTGAACCCCCCCGCCCCGTTCCCTGGAGCCCAGAGCCCCCTGCTGAGCCCCCGCCTGCTCCCTCCATCACAGCACCCCCTGCTGAGCCCCCCGCCCTGTTCCCTGCAGCACAGGGCCCCCTGCTGAGCCCCCCGCCCTGTTCCCTGCAGCACAGCGCCCTCTGCTGAGCCACCCCCCGCCCTGTCCCCTGCCCGACTTCCTGTGGCCTGGCACCTCGTAGCACTGCACAGGGGCATTGGGGCCTGCAGTGATTGCCATGGGGAGGATGTTAACTGGGGAGGGGAGGTGTGGGGCACTACAGTGCTGGGATCTGGGCAGGACAGACACACTGCCGGGCCCCCCACTGCTGGCTCCCCCTGCTGGCCCCAGGCTGCCCATGGCACCATCTCGTCCCCTAGTGCTGGGTAAGGGACTGGGAGGGCAGAAGTCTGGGCTGCAGGGCACGGCCTGGGGCTGGGGGGCACCAGCGGGGGCAGCAGAGCCCACGGCCGCAGCGGGGGAGTGCAGGAAGGGCCGACGGGGAGGGAAGGGCTGGGATGCGCAGGGAACAATGGGGAGAGGGGTTATTGTTCTGCTGGTGGCTGCTGGGAGGTGCAGTCTCTGGAGAGGTGCATGCTGGGAGTTGTAGGCAGGTGCATGCTAGGAGATGCAGTCTTAGGCCAGGTGCATGCTGGGAGTTGTAGGCAGGTGCATGCTGGGAGTTGGCCAGTGTGTGCGGCCAGCGTGCGGGGCAGGAGCAGAGACTCCAGCTCCGACAGCAGGTGAGTCAGATCCCCCCCCCCGGGCTCTGTTTGCGCACCCCGCGGGAGGATCGAGGGTCGGGGCTGGTACTTGGGGGGTGATGGGATTGTGCGGGAGGAGGGGGGCAGATTTGGGGCTGGACGGGGCCCTAAGGGGTGAGGATTGGGCAGGGGGCTGAGGGGAGGGAGGCTGTTTATGGGTGTTGGGGGGCTGGGTGAGTGGGAGGCTGGGAAAGGGACGGTGGGGGGCTGGGCAGGGTGCAGTGGGGGGTTGGGTGAGTTGTGGCTGGGCGGAGGATGGTGAGAGGGTTGGGAGGGGGACAGTGGGGGGCTGAGTGAGGCGGGGGGCTGGGTGGAGGGTGGTGGGGAACTGGGTGAGTTGGGG